ATTCAAGGAAAAATCTAAAATACACATTTCAGGACTCACATATAAAATGTGAAGGAAAAAGAAAATGGAGGCGTCTGTCAGCCAATTATGTACCTGCTGACTTTTGTTTAATGCAGATTAGCTGAACATGGGTGATTTAATAAATTTAAGAAGTTTTGGATGTGACTGGGATCAGGCCTATCCGATTGAATTGGAATTTTTTTTAACTTCCTGAGTGAACTGATTTAAGTTAAACATTCCCCACTTTAATATATGGGTGGCATCTAGACAGCTCCCTCACGCTGCATCCCAAGCTCCCTTGTGCCTTGTATTGCTACTGTTAAAGGTTAAGTTGGTGTCAGGGTTAGTTGGTCAGCCAGTACAATTAACATAATTATTATACAGGATTTATATAGCGCCAACAGTTTGCGGAGCGCTTTACAACATATGGAAGATATTACAATCACAATACAATTCAAGACACGATGGTAAGGAGGGCCCTGTCCATGAGAGCTTACAATCTAGGAGAATTAAATATATGCTTTGTTACAGCTACTGCTTTTGTGAAGTAGGTCTAAGTTTTTTTGATTAAGCATTATAAACTAAACTGAAGTCTAGGGACAGGCGAACACCTTACTACTACTCCCTCCCTAGCTATAAGATGCAAAACCAATCAGTCATACCTTTTTTCATTGGCCTTCCTGCTGGTCCGATGGCATCAGGTGTCCTTCTGCATATCCTCCAGTGGTGGCGAGAGGTCTTTTTGTAAACCTAATCATTCAAAAATGCTTATAAGTAGATTACAGTAAAAAAGGCAATAATTTACTGTAACCCATGATCACCAGTCAACCTGACTTATACTAGCTTGGTGTAGTTAATCCATAGAAAGCTGGTCTTTAGTTTACTGCACAGCCCTGCATTTCCACTGTGCTAATTAATAAAGAAAGTGACTTAAAGTTATACAATTAGAACAATGCAATGCAGCACAATAAACAGGAGCCGAGAAGAATTAAATGTTTTCTGCCATGCCATTTAATCCAAAAAACAGAATTTACACATAGGCTCTATCTGCAACATATGCATGTCTGTGACCGGAAGGTTAATTCTAGTAATTGCTGAATATCAGACAAAACCAGGATTACAAAGTACAGTACAGTACATTGCAACATAAACCATTGATGAGTTTGCAGAGTACTGATCCAACATTTATTACACAGGTTATGTACAGTATTTCTTCTCGTGTAGAAGAAGAGAAAAACAAGTGTCATAAATGTACAAATGTCAGAATCGGCACGTCAGCAGAAAGCAGATAATTGTAAAGTACAAACCCATGTACTGAACGCACTAGAAAAGGGAAGACAAATCAGAGCCGCTGCCTGAGAGTGCAAGCTCAGCTGCACAACTCCATCTCCACCATCAGGTGCACTGGGGAAGACTGGGCACTCTCAGGATATTGCCCCTCACTGGGAAGCTTTGCCACCCGCTTGTGACACACGTTTCTGTTTAATACATTGTCATTTATTTTGAATTGTCCACAAAGCTTTGACCTCTGCCTTTGTCCAACTACCTCCTCTGGTAGATCCTCAGCAATGCTGTTGACTTAAGTATCTTCTGTATTTACCTTAATCTGAAATGAGAGATATCTAAGCCCCTAACTACAACCAGCAGATGGAGGGGCCCATCTGATAACCCAGATCACAGATCTACTCTTCCCCTCAGACCAATCCCTACATCAAGAGTACTGACTTATCATGGGGATTAAAACCATAAGTCCTATTAGCTCTACTAATAGCATTGACATTGGAGTTTTGGGTATAGACTAGAGTAGGAAAACAATGTCCTTTCCTAAAGGATAAAAGTAAATATCACAAATGCTAATCAGTAGTCAGGTAATTGTCTCGGATATGAGAGATATACAAATAGCTGTTGCCAGCATTGATAAATCAAAACTTTTCTTTTAAAATAATTAATTGGTATCTGTTTTGGATGGAACATTATAAACAGAAGCCTGACCCTAGCAGTGACTGCATCCTTAATTTTTATTCATGCCTGCCAACTGCCCTCGTGGATTTATTTTTAACTTGCAATAGTGCATTGTGCTCCCTACTGCTAGCCCAGAGTTTCTTTAGACAGTTAAGACTTATTCAGGCCCAAATCCACCCAAAACATTTGATTGAAGCCAAAAGGAAAGATCGCACACTATAGGGCTCATTTATAACTGAGAGCAGATATCACCATCTCCTTTCCGGTCCATACACTGCAGTATTACTCATTAACAAGGCCTGCATTTTGCGGCCCATTCATATAATGCAGGTCGTGGTATGGAGCCTTCAGTTCTTTCTGCTTAATGCACCAGCGAGAAGAGTCAGTCACATGTCTTTGACAGGATACAGTCCGTGTACCCATCGCACTCAGAGCAGCTGCTCCATCAATGGGAGGTGGGTGCAACAGGTGTCAACGGGTGGCTTCCCGTCATAATATGACCCACTTGTTACCTGATGAAGGGTATCCTGTGAGACCCTGAAAGGTTGTATATAGTGTTCTATTTGCAACTAGTACGTGAATAAATACATACTGGACTTGCTTTGGAGTGCCGGTGTCTATTCTTTACCGGCATGTCTTTGACAGGTCACGTAACTGGGCTTTTCTTTTTACTTTACAGGCTCATTAATTTTTATAGTGATCTACTGCCTTTGGGGCTCTGCTAAACATATCTACGAAGTACATCACAGGGTGTACAATTTGTTGGGCAGCCTTAATACAATGCACATAATGTGAGACACAACTTAATGCATGTTTGTTTACACCCTGCAACGTGGTGTAAAAATGCAAACAGGCCCTTAGTGGAGCTCTTCAACATTCATTTGTTTTTAGACCTGAAAACTAACAGAATACTTCATGAAATGTTCCTTCCCATGGGAAAATCCAGCCCAATACTAAAAACAAGATATTTGCCAGCTGGGTGTGAAACGCTGTAGTATCTTTAAAGGAGAATTATGAGGTGAGTGATTTTAACTCAGCCTCATAATCTGAGCCGACCTGTGAGAATGACAAGGACATAATTGTCGGGATCCGTTCCGGCTGCGGCGTCTCAGTATACCGCGAGCTGTACCTCGCAGTATACTGAGCTTAAGGTGACGGGAGGATGCTAGTTTGTGTCTTCCCGTTACCCTTAGGAGAACTAAGTGGAAAAGACCTGACCACATAGTTCTCCTTTAAGTACAGTAGGAGTAGGATTCCATTCTTGGGCAATTGGAAGTTCAAACTAACCTACTCTACCTACGACCTTGTATACATAGATGTTTATTGCTACAATAATTTTTTATAATTTTGGATGACAGGTTCGCATTGAATGTATTACAGTAGAAGAAAAGTCTGTTTATATTGTGTACAAAGGCATGTCAGGCTAATTGTGGATGATAGTTCAGCAAACAGTGTGTTTTAAATATGTTACAACAGAAGACAATTGTGTACGTCTTGTGGACATGGTCGTGCCAGACTAGTCTAAAAATATTGCTTAGCAGAGTTTATTGCACCAACTTCTCTCTTGTATCTTTAGGGCATTGACTTTTTATAACACTTATTGTATGTCTTTTGCACAATTTTGTTCAAATTAGACGTGAAAATCCAGATCAAATATTTAAATGAGGCTATCAGGCTAAAGTAAACTGGTTGTTGGTTGTCGTTTCTTATCACAAGGGCTAATGATACAGCATAACTTTGTTAATAGCACATTGTCATGTTGCAATACCTTAATTTGCTTGCTGGTAGCCCCATTCACACTTAAAGAAGAATGAAAGGAAATGTAGAAATTATCCTTTGCAGCGGGGTTAAGTGTTCATTTTGGTCTAAGAGCTCAAAAAAAGATGATATACTCACCTGATCCTCAGTTTCACTTGGGTGCTAGACTGGTCCCCCCAAGCATCTTCTCCCCCGGGGTCCAGCCGTTTAAGGACTCATGACCTCCTCATGTCTAATGCAGCTGCATTAGACTTAAGGACCCAGTTGGACTTTCCACCGATAGAGTGGAGGGGGAGAGAGGTGAGTGCTCATTGCCACAGGAACGAGGATCAAGTGAGTATATCTTCTTTATTTCATCCCTAGAGCAAAGCATGCTGTTAACCCTTGAAGTGCAAGGGTAGCCCCACTGCAAGGGTTAATTTTAAAATTTCCTGAAGTTTTTCTGTACACTACACACTTTTGGGTGTTTTTTTGAGCATTTGTACAGGTGTTTTTGCAAGCTTTTCAGGCTTGAGCGTTTTATTTTTAAGCAATGCTAGTTACTAGGCAAACAAAATGCTTGAGATACATATGTTGTTGCATGTTTTTCGGACATTTTCCAGACGCTCCCATTGAAGTCTATTGGGGTCAAAAGCTTAACACTGCTCATGTACTTTTCCGAGCTACAGGCATTTTGCTATAGGCGACAGAATGCTCAGATGTGAACAGGGGCCATTTTAAAAAAATGCATTCTTCTTGTTGAGCGTTGTAGTGCTTAGACATTCGAGCTACAAAAAACTCGGGTATGAAAGGTGCCTAAGGCTAGTAAATTTATAGTTAGGGCTGGATTTCCCACAAGGCCATCCAGCTACTGCCGTGTCGAACATTTATCATTCAGCCCCTTAGGCCCCGTTCACACTCCGCGATATGCAAATCGCGCGATTGTCGTGCGATTTGCATTTTGCCCGATATCGCGAGATTTGCCGCGCGATATCGCGCAAATGCTTGCATTGAGCAAGCTTGAATCGCGGATAAATCCGCTCCAAAAAGGGTCCTGCTGTAGCGACACACGACCCACGACAGCAGGACCCTTTGCCCCATTGAGAAGCATTGGGGAGCGATATCGCGCGGTAATTTGCCGCGATATCGCGGGAATTACCGCGCGATAAATCGCTAAGTGTGAACGGGGCTTTAAAGTCTAAGTAAGAGTGTTTTACTGTGAATATACAGTATTTGTTGGCATACTTGGGGATCAGAACTTTTTTCAGTTTGCAATTAGTGTTTTATTTTATTTTTTTCAGAATAAAACATATCATGAGACCTCCAATTCAACTGCAGCCATTATTTCCATTAAAGCTACAAATGCCACTTGTACCGTGCATGTAGCTTGCTACACAGCAGGAGGCGTTGGGCCATACAGTGAAACGGTGCAGCTTGTTATTCCAGGTGATGGTGAGAGCCTTTTATATTATTTTTATAGTCAATATCTGGTGCTAAACAACTGTTGTTCTATAGCAGTGTTTCTTAAACTGGATCAGGACTCAAACTGGGTTGCAGATGTGTTTGGGATGGGTCGCCACTGGACTTTGTATCCAAGAGCAAATGATCAGATCAAGTGAGAGCACACTAACTATGACTGACATTATAGATGCATTCAGGGAACTAGAAGGGGAGTGGGGGTTGTGTTAATGAGGGAATTACATAGTCAAGGTTATAGCGAGGAAAGACCCGGTAATAGTTTGAAGTGTCTAGTACTACTAACTTCAAATACAATGCAGATCCTATGTCTCTTGACTCTGTCACTCTTTATTAGGAGTCCCTAGACACACTCACATTTCAGGAAGTGCCCTGGTATTCTTCAGGAGGAATTCCAGAAAACAGTAGATTTTTCAGGGGACTGCTTACACACAATTAACATTATAACATGTTTCAGTTCTGTTCCAATTTTATAGTAAGGTGGTAAGCACCAAAAAAACAGTGTTCCATCTGTGGAAGAGTAAAGCTGACCATATACAGTACATTTATTTTTTTAATTTTTGTTCAGCCTGTGAGCTAAACGAAAAACACATAACAAATTCCTCCACCCACGCTAAACAGCGTAGTTGGACGAATCCCGCTTTGTCCTTTGTATTCTGACAGCGGTGGTGTGTCACTGTCAGAATATCCTGAAAAGTGACGGCAGCTGTCTGTGTCATTGTTTGCCTAAAGATTTCCCATGCGGCTCCTCGATTTTTCTGATGTCGGGCAGAAGTGTGTTGTCATTGGCACCCTCTGCATGAATTTTGGTCGGTTAATGATGAACTTCACAGAGTGTGTGGCCAGCTATAGTTATTTTGAGGCAGAATCAGCTTGTCCAACAGTATCTGTGGGTAGCTAGCATCTAGCTGCCACCAGTTTAAGCATTGTTCTGCACTAGTTCTCATTTGCTGTCCTCCCCTCTCACGACTTATTATTAATGCAGAGCAGCATTAATTACTGTGTCTGTGAAGGTTCTCATTCATCCAGGTCATGGTATATCTGTAAAAAATAAATCAAGCCAACTGGACTTGCCGTATTTTTTTTTCTTAAGGTGTTTCGCTGGTCATCTCACTAGCTTTCCCAATTCAGTATGACTTCTAGAAAAATCAACATAAGCTGTTAAATATAACCAGCATGGGGTCAGAGACCTCATGGAAGTAAAGTGTTGATTGCATTTACATAATTAGAGCTAGCAGGTGTTATTAACCCACCCAGAGAGAGGTGTTAAATCAGTATTGTATGTTGCAGACAAGTGATGTCTCACCCCCCTCGCCCGACCTCGATTCAAGCCTTCTCATTTTTACATAAAAGTCACTCCTTTGAAGACAGTCAAGTACGCATCCTGAGAACTAGTTTAAGCCTTTTAGCCTCTTTCAGGCCATTTATGTAAAAATGGGGAAGCCAAGCTTGAATAGGGGCAAGGAGTGGTAGCTCCAATTATGCCAATTAAATCAATACTTCACCTCCATGAGGTCTCTGAACCCATGCTGGTTATGTTTAACAGATCGGATTGGAGCAACATTCACCATATTTATTAGACATGTGCAAATCATGTAAATTTGTTTTGGAGTAAACAAATTAAAAATAAAACATTTTAATTAATTTTGTCAAACGAAATGAATAATTTTGCTATTTCAGATTCGGAGGTGTATACACCAAGATGGTGACGCCCATACAGGCATGTGACGTCACCCAACCCCACGCACGTCTCCCTTCTGCCAACTAATATGTGCCGAATATGTTTTTCGGATATTTGGGCATATAATAATTTGTTCATTCAGACAAGACGCCGAATCAACAAAATGTAGTTGATTTGCAGCTTCGTCCAAATCCGAATGCACAAGTATAATATTTATTCCCAGAGAATTTTTTACAAGTCATTCTGAATTGAGAAAGTTAGTCAGATGACCAGCGAAACGTCTTCAAGAAAAAAAAATACAGCTAGTTGCCTTAATATTTTTTTTTTTTTTACAGATATAGCATTACATACTGTTTTTGTGTGTTTATTTTGTTTTATACAACCTTGACATTTTGATAAAAATTCCCTTCTTTTGCCCCAGTTGGAACAGTTTTCTTCTTTAAGGTCTTTAGACTAAAATGTTTAAGACCCCCTGCTCTATAGATTTTCAAGACATGTTAATGGCAGGAAAATGTAGGTAATACACTAAGACGTTGTATATGTTTGTAACAAATTTGATCTCCTGCCCTGCAATGTAGCATCAGGAAATACATTCACTTGGTTTCTCAGTATTTTAAAGGCCGTTATACCAAAAATACAAAATAAATGTTTTAATAAGATTCCTCAATTAATAAGAATGTGTATGGTCAATTCTCTTGCACATTATATTTTTAGAAAACCAGTTTGCTTAACAGAAAATAATTTATATTTCTAAATATAAAAATCGGTTCGTCTCCTTCTTCCAGGTACACTAGCATCTGCAACGTCTTCAACTCCGGCAACAGGAACTGTCAGTTCCTTTATGATATTTTTGGGCTCTGTCTCTAGCTTCATGATACTTCTACTAATTATTTATGGTGCAGTAGTGCTTATTAGGAGGAAAAAGGAAACAGAATTTGGGTAAGTTCGAGAAATATTTGGTGCCTATGAAATTTAGGTGAAAATGATGTTTATACTTTTAAACAATGTAGTACACAAAGACTTAATTCTGAGCTAGGAGTCTCCTCTTATAGTGACTTCCTACAGCCACAGATCTTTATGGCTGCACAGATCTTTAAAACTAGTAAAAGATACATAAATTAATAGTGCATTTGCATGAACATTTGGGTATTACATTTTATCTTAAAGTGTATGTCAACGCAGAAAAAAAAAATCTCTGTAATACAAACACATCCTAATGGTTTGCCTTTAAAAATACTGCAGGTACAGAATAATGCCCGTTGATCCAGAGAGCTCCTACTTTTATGTTTCAAATGACAACACAGTGCCTTTGCTACACTAAAATTTAAAATAGTGTTTTCAGCCCTGCCCAGTTCTCTTTCACTACAGAATACCCTTCCCCCCTTCTCATCTCTGTAACACAAAGAGAAATGTTCTGTGGTCCAGCAGGGGATAACTGGACAGGGCTGATACCACTATATGGAATTACGGTGCAGCGGAAGCAGAGTGCACAGGAATTTAGGAGCACAATTAATTTTGGCAGATAGACAAGTACTTGCAGGAAACATGGGGACGTTAACATATAATTCAGACATGTACTGCATATGCTTTTTTTTTGTCCATGCACATTCTGTAAATAGAAATTACAATTACCTAATTAAGCTATTCTCAATATCACACTTACAGGATGAGCCAAATGGCCATAAGCTAACCACTCTCAGGTAGAACATTGATCAGCCAGGTTACAAGACCTGTCCTGGTTGCTTTTGTTACCTTGTGAGATAAGGGGTGGTAGCTGCCTCCACATGTACTGCT